ATTCTATTCTATTCTATTCCATTCTATTCTGCTGATCCCCGCGTGCTTTATAACACAGCACAGCACGCTTTTTATTTCTTCTTTAGCAATACAGAGCTTGAACTACCTGTGGCGGTGTTCGATTGGGACATTGAAGGAGAGCTGAAGATCACTGCCAAAAAAATTTACCTAAGATTCTACTTCTTTTCGAAGATATCATAAATGTCATTTCAGTTCAATTCAGAAATGTGAAAGAACTCGCGTGCAAATCAAACCATAGTTCCAAGGAATTGTCTTTTTTTTCCATTCAGCCTTACTACCCTACCGTGGGCATTTTGTATGTTGACAGTTTTGACGTGGTTGTCGGCTGATAATACCAGTCTGTCACTTTGGTAAATAAATTATATATAATCTAGATGGTATTACGTTTTAACCTCAGTTGCACCGTGAACAGCTAGTCTACTGATAACCTCTCACCAGTAGTATCTAAATAACTATATTATAACTGATTCTACGCTGCTATACTACATCGTGTAAGTACATAAGAAATCTCCATTTTGTTCTTAGGTCTGCAAGTTCGTCAATTAGCCCGCCTGGAGGGAATGCTACGCTTAAGACAATGACGATTAGGCCGGGGGTTAGAAAATTGGCAAACTACTTTCAAAACCCGTATAGTATTGAATAAAACTATAAGAATAAGACATAGATTAAGATATTTAAGTATTAGAATCAAACATTATTTCGAACTATATTGTGGTTGGCAAATTTGTTTTTAGATTCAAGTGTAGGGTTTTGACCTCGAGTTTTAAGTCGTTCATTAAATCAATAATTTAGCAACGAAAATTGGGAATGTAGCAACAAGGTTTTGAAACTTTTGAAAAGGCATAAATATCTCACTCAGTTGGCGGTAAATCGCAAATTTGAGTAGAAAAATTAGACCAAATGTGTGAAAAAATTAAATGAAAATATCTAGAATTTTCGATTTTGTTTTCTAGTGACGGAGGAATTTTCATGTGGGCACATGTCTATTTGTTTGGTTAGTATGGTTAATCGTTACTTGTGGCTTTAACGGTGTAATGTCGAATAGTATACGTGGATTATCGTTGCCATGGTGTTAGCAGTATTAAACGTCTTGTCAAAAGCATTTCGTCAAACCATCTTTTAATCGCGAAAACTGTCAAAAACATCAGTAATTATTCTTCATAAATTTTGGCGTTAGAGATAGATGAGTTTTTCAACTCTTATTTTTTATTATTATCAATATAATATTAAATTTTAAGGACCCCGAAAAAATTTTTTCAAATTTTTTCAAATAGAAGTGGAAAAAAATTCTGTGCATATCTGTTCAATAGCGAAATTAAAACTCGGCTTTATTAGTTGGCGACTCGTTTAATATTACATATATCAAATGACAAAATAAGCAAAAAAGTCAAGGAAAATTAACGCAGTACTTTAGCGTGTTTTCCTAAAAAAGGTCGAGCACTATATTGGCTTTTGATAAAACGTGTTTATTCAAAAAAATATCAATCACAGAACGTACGCACAAATGGCTTTCTAAAAAAATACAATTAAATATACGAAAAAATCTCCAATATAACCACTTTTTTCACTACCCTGTAATGTTTGTTCTTTTTAATGATATATATTCCTTGCAGCAGACACATTTTAGTCTTTAGTTTATTGAATTTTTGAGTCTCCTTCAAAAGATGCAATTAAAACCGGCCGAAAAGACAATATTGGCTTTTAATTAAGACTTAGAAACATTCTATTTATTCTCTTTACTTTACTTTACTTGAAGCTAAGCAAATTATGAAATTATCAATTCCATTCTGCGTGTTTTATAAACTACATTTGTACATTATTCCGGCGACGTATTTGCAAGATTTTTCAGACCATAATAGATTTAGCTCGCGTTTTACTGCTGGAAAAGAAAAAGAAATTTTCTGGCCGATGGAGTTGGCATTTCAGCGAAAAGTAACATGTTTAATTGAAAAGTCAATGATTTTTTCGTACTCGTTAGGATACTAGAAAAAATATCCGTCAAGTTCGAAGTTGAAGCTAATTTATACTCTACAAAAAGGAATAAATAAATAGGAAATTTTTAAATTTTCTCTTTATTGATACTGCCTACTTTAAGAAGTTTTTTTTTTGATAAGTGTTTTTTTTTTTGTAAATCTCGATATAACAATGGGTGTTTTTGTACATTTTTATTCACGACAATTTATCTCTTACGCTATGTTTTCCTTTGAAAATCACTAATGAAGCGTTGCAAAATTCTCTTAATTATCCACTGATGTGTAATTAAGAAAGAAAAAAAGGACAAGCAATCGAAAGTTATCCTAAACCATAGCAAATGGACAATAGCTGGATTACCATATGCAAACAATATGAGGTTTCGAAGGCATTAAGCAAGCTTCTTGTCATGAGATATAGAAAGCTGTTCAAACCTGTTCAAGTTAGAAGATTATTTTAAATACTCTAACCGAAAATTATCTCTACATTAAGTCATCTAAAATGTCTATATAACTAGCACGCCTCTCGAAAGAACATTCGATAGATTGAACTCGCATCGATGTAAAAAACCGACCGACCGTCTGTGACGTCATACACTCAACATCGAACATCGCTCCGTACATTTCTTTGTAGTTTATGATCAAAATATCAGTAGTAAAGGGAGAAAGAAATACCCAAACACCCCAAAATATAAATTATAGTCACAAGTAATGTGAAATAAGCACATTAGCCACCCTTTGGGCTTCATAGGAATAAAATAAATTAAGGATTTATATACAAAGAAATATATGTAGCAATGTTTGATGTTGAGTGTATGACGTCACAGACTCCAAAAAATAATCGTAAAAATATCCTACTTTCGTCCTGAATATCGAGWAAACACTTCATACAGTGATTATTGGACCTTTAAAGAGTATTCTTAGGAAGTTTCAGCTGAATCCAAGTTTGAGCGATTTTCGTCGTAGTAGCACTTTAATGAAATACATTCTTATATTTTTCATCGTTACAGAAGTCTGACAAAACGGAAAAGCCGGTCCGCTCGAGTGTAAGGTTTAAAAACAATATTTTTTCTACAATTGCAGAAACGTTCTATAGGGAGTCGTCGAGAAGATTGTGGCACGAGACACAAAAGCCAAGTTACTGAAAGGTTTTTGTACTAATACGTGGACTATGACAAGGAAGCCAAAGGTTTAAAAAACGTTTCCTCTCACAATGGAACAAAGCTTTCAGATATTCATCGCATTGCCAACAGAGGATGTTTGTACACTAAGAGATGTTAGCAACGATATGAGAATTTATCAACTGAAATCTCGCGTGGAACTAAAAACAGGCATTCCTGGAGATATTCAACATTTATACTTCATGAATAAAGAACTTCATGATGATCACAAGCTTGAAGATCTTAAAGTTAAGCAAGGCTGCATCATTCGAGTCAAACTCGAATCAACTTGGTCTAACCTCTTTGAAGCTTGCTGGAGAGGAGATATATATGAAGTCTTCCAAAATGGGGTTCAATTTTTGGATGAAAATGAGTTCCAAGGTTACAATATAGCTTTGTGGAACAGACTTGTCATACAAAGAGCGACAAAGGCGTTATTCATCGCATCTCATAGAGGTTTTTTAGGGTTGATTATGGAGCTTTTAAATCGCGGTGCTGCTGATATTAATGGGAAAACGAGGTTCGGAAGGACGAGTCTACATGTTGCTGCATATCAAGGCTTTGTGGGATGCGTATCTTTACTTCTTTCGGAAGGAGCTTTGTGCAACCAGATCGATTATAATGGCAAGACTGCTCTGGCACTTGCCAGCGAGAATGGTCACATATATTGTGAAAGACGTCTTTGGTTGTATCAGATGAACTTGAAAAGGTACGCTGTTTCTGGGAAAAGAAGATCGAGTGATGATAACAAGACAAAGCAAGAAACGATAGATGAATTCAATACCAGGTTTGTGTATGATAAACATTATGCTAATTAGTGCTAATATAGCTATGGGTGATCCTATACAAGTCTTAGATGGAAAGTTTATGATTTTATCCACGGTAACACTTAGAATAAACATCTAAAAACTGGTCGAATACCCAAAAGTTGATTGACATGACAAAAGACACCAAGACCAATTATTTTGTTCCAGTCAACCAACATGGCAGCTATGACGTCACATGCACAAGGACAAAAAACATTGCCGCCATGTTGGATGACATGACAAAAGGAACCAAGACCAAATCTTTTGTCAAAGTCAACTAACATGGCAGCTATTACGTCACATGTACAAGGACAAAAAACATTGCCGCCATGTTGGATGACATGACAAGACACGAAAACCAAATTTTTTGTCAAAGTCAACCAACGTGGCGGCTACGACGTCACATGCATATGGACAAAAGACATGGTCGCAATGTTGGATGACATGACAAAAGACACCAAGACCAAATCTTTTCCTCAATATTCAACCAACAATGGCGGCTATGAAGCAAACCAAGAATAGCCCCTTTGCAGCTCAGTCATCACGTGCTGATTAATTCACTGATAGCAAATGAATGAACATCTTGATTCCCATGCGTGAAATATACTGGTGAGCAAACAAACTTTCTACAACCTGTTTCGAGAGATCGTAATAAAACTGCATTTCGTAACACACTGGATACACATGTTTTCATTTAGTTCTTTACAAGTAGCTAAAAAGAATCACCAATTTAAAATAAAAACAAAAATTTTGCTCACCAGTACAGACACGTGACCGTTAACTGCAAAGGGCCTATTGTGGTCATTCTGGTATGGTTGCCATGGATACAAAGCTGCGAAGCGACCTCGAGGTCCACAGAATCGTGGTACCGTTTAGATAAGCGAGACAGCGGAGCTTTGCAGGTCGCGCTTCCATTAATTTCGGAAAATCGAATAATGAACGAAAAGCTTCTGATTCCTTGAATAATTTTTCATTATGCAGAATGAGCACGAGCAGTTCTGGCAAAGGATTGCACCTGAATGGGAACAAAGCGAGACTAGCACAGGGTGAAGAAAGACAAGAACACAAGGTAAGGCTTCAAAATAGTGACGTCATTTTTTCTATGAAATGAGGTCATACTACATGACGCAATGACATCACTAACATTTATATATACGTTAGTAATTTGTAACGTGATCATTGACGTCATAATTTACCAAAACTTTTGGTAATGTATACTTTAATTTAGGTATATTTATTTCGTGTTCGATATATATTTAAGTTATTTTGACCTAGTAATACTATGCTAGCAATTCAACAGAATATAGTACGCACTGTTTATAATCACTTAACGCAATATTGGCATCAATTTTCTTTGTCAGAAATTCGAACTCCATTTACCTCGTGTCCAGACCTCTGACGGCCAAAGCAACACGAGCTCAACCCCAGGCTCCGATGCGCAAGAACATTCAACTCGTGCTCAGTTTCCTCTCGTGCAAATCGCAGAAAAATACCGCAGAGAGTATAGGGAGTTAAAGGAATCACATTTTCCTAATATGGGCAAGAAAGAGAGTCCAGGGACCCAAAGGCCTCAAACGGCACCAAATCCTCACGGTCAGAAAGGTGCGAGATTAGAGACTAAGTCCAAGAATGCACTTGATCAAGTAGAGGAAGCTAATGCGATAGGTTTGAAACAAGACGAGAAAGCTGAGAAAATGGACACCAAAGAGTCTAAAGAAAATGTACCAGGTACCTTGACGATCATTCAATAGACTGTTTTCTCAAGGTTGCATGCGCACCCAACTTGACGGGCCACAAAACTGGAAAAAACGTAAATTCAGTAAAATTGAGAAGAAAGTTTTATATTTAAAGAGGATAATGATCGATTTTAGGAAATTTTATCGAAAAACAATTCATAGCAATGCATGATAATACTCCTGTTCTGGTATCGTGGCCCGTCAACAAGTTCCTTAAATTTGGATGCGCACGCAACCTTGAGAAGAAGATGGCGTACATCTTTTCCCAGGAAATACGAACATGGCCGCCATGTTGGTTGACATGACAAAAGACACCAAGACCAATTCTTTTTTTCCAGTCAACCAACATGGCAGCTATGACGTCACATGTACAAGGACAAAAGACATGGCCGCCATGTTGGTCGACATGACAAAAGACACAAAGGCCAAATCTTTTGTTCCAGTCAACCAACATGGCAGCTATGACGTCACATGTACAAGGACAAAAGACATGGCCGCCATGTTGGTTGACATGACAAAAGACACCAAGACCAATTTTTTTTTTCCAGTCAACCAACATGGCAGCTATGACGTCACATGTACAAGGACAAAAGACATAGCCGCCATGTTGGATGACATGACAAAAGACACCAAGACGAAATCCTTCATTTTGTTCCAGTCAACCAACATGGCGTCTATGACATCACATACAATTCAGAATGACTGACATTATTGATTGTTTGTATTTCATTGTGTGTTGTTTGTTTTGTTGCATGCAGCGAGCAAGACTTGTTCTAATGATGAAACCAGTTCGTCAGAACAAGGAAGACAAGAAGAAAACAAGAAAGAAAGGTATTGTTTGAAGCAGCACAACCACGTCTCACCCCTCCCCTACTACATTAATACCTGTAAAGTGGTAGAATATATGACCCTTTTAATAAATCCCACGATGGCTTATTTCCCGCGTTTGACCTAATGGGAAGGGGGGAGGGGTCACAACCTCTATTTATCAGGCATGATGATGATATATACTAGCAATATACCGATAATACTTATGATATGGAAGTTGAAAGTAATAGCACATACAACACCATTAAAACGGCTATCTTACACTGTGGTTTTTTTAATTATAGGCCACAATCTAGCAGAATTTCTAACAAGCGCCATCTTGATGTCGTTATTTCAAGTTCTCGGTTAAGATCAAAAAGCGAAGAAGCTCGATCTGTGAACCCAGAAGTCAATTCGCCCCAAGATTCGCCGAGTCCTTCAGACGAGCCCGCGATTGACCATGATTATATGGATGTCACAGCGCATGCTTACAGGCCGCGAAAACAAGCTCCGACGTTTGATTCATGGCTCGAAAAGAAACGAAATCAAGGACAACTACGGCCCGCCACAGCTCACGTCACGGAAAAGAGCAAAATGGGCAAAAGTATTGAGCCCGAAGCTTTTAAAAACTGGCTGAATAAAAAGCGTTATCATCACTATAGAAGTAATTCAGAATCTAGCAATAGCGGCCCTAAAAAGACTTATATTAGTTCAGGTTTGACGTTTGATAAGTGGCTTGAGGAGAAGAGAAAAATGGCGGGAAAAGAGAAAGATTGTCACGTGGTTGAATCATGTAGTGAAAGTAACAAAAAAGCGCGTGTAATTTTGGCGGGAAAGTCATACGAAGAGTGGCTCAATGAAAAACTCGCGCAGACGCAGAGTAAAGAGAACGAAAATGAAGAGGGGAATAATAATGTTCAAAAGAGCGGGAAAACATACGAGATGTGGCTTCTGGAGAAGAAAAAGCAGAAGCAGATTGAGATGATACACAAAGCTACAACTGAAAAGGAAAAACAACGACGACTTGAGTTTGAACAGTACCAGAAACTCTTGAATCCTAATTGCCGGACATTCGACGAATGGTTAGCGATAAAACAACAAGAACACTTGTTGGAACGAGTGCGCGCCGAAAATGAGCCGAAGGAAGACGAAATTACGAGCGAAGACAAGAAAAAAGATGCCCATACTGTCTTTGATATTTGGCTGACGATGAAGTTTGTGCAAGAAATGAAAGTAGAGGAAGAAAATTACAGGGAAATGAAAGAGAAATGGGAGAGAAGAGAAAAGCAACGGGAAGCTTTGAGGAGAGCGATTCATATGAGTAAACTGATGAAACAACAAAATGGGAATCAAAATCACCAAAATTACAAAACGCCTAACGAGAGAAGAGATGTTGTAAATGATGAAGATGATGAAATTATGGAATGCATAGAAGCTTGACGATTTAATAGTATGACTACTATGATTCCAGCAAATGATTTTAAAGTCACCTAGTGAAGTAAAATTTCTAGTCGAAAATAATGATAAAAATTTTTAAATGGGTGAAATATTTGCTTGAGTTAACAGAAATGCACTTCTTTACCTTCGCATACAAATTGCCCATTTTCAGACTACGTGTCATTTCCCTGAGAATCGTTCTTTTCATGACGAACATGTTAAAATATTTACACATGAAAGAATCAACTCAGTCCCAAGAGTGGCATCACATGGTCTGAAATGTGAACAAGAAACAACGAAGGTAAAGAGGTCTATTAGAAAATCGCAATGCCTCTTCATTCGGAGTATTTTGGTAACACTAGGAAACTAAAAGAAAGTTGAACTCATCAATCAGACACGAATTTCGGACTACTAAGTAAGGGGCCTGGCTACAAATGCTAGCAGTAACCATGGTAACCCTATCATGACACACCAAGCACCTGTCACACTTGACCTGTCACAACTGACAAGTCAGCGAAATACTCACTTATTCGTACCTTCAGGGGAAGGGTGAGAGGGAAAAAAATACAAATGCAAAGCGTGAAAATAACATGGTATTTTCACGTGTGAAGATATCAATTTTTCGAAATAGAGAAAAATAGATATTTCATCGGTAATTATATAATAAAAAAATATTTTTTACTCTTAAAAAAATCGTAATTTACTTCTCCAGTCCATAGGCAACTAGTTTTAGAAAACTAAATTCTAATTTCCTAAACGGTTTTTGAACTATCTTGAGGGGRAAAACATGTTTTGGCACTTTTGACGGTCAAAACTCATTTGCGATGAATAAATTATCTCTGTGAGTGACGTTGAATCCAGTAAAATGTTTCAAGAGCTCACTGCAGATAAATAGATTTTTTCTCTTACAAAATCGTAATTTACTTCTCCAATTCATAGGCAACTAGTTTTAGAAAACTAAATTCTAATTTTCTGAGCCATTTTCGAACTATCTTGAAAAAGAAAACACACGGTTTGGAACTTATGAATTGTGGTTGACGGAAGAAAGAAATGAAGGAACGAAGGAAGGAAAGAAGGAAGAAAAAGAAAGAAAGAACGTCCCGGGCAGAACTAACGTAATTAAAAGTATATTTTGTACATCAAGAACAATAATTATGAAACACAGGTGCCTATTACATGATTTTTTTACTTCAACTAACGTAACTCCAGAAATGTTTGTATCCTACAATCAAACCAGACATCCCTGCTCAGTGGCAGAGATAAGACTGCTTAGTAAGTCCAGACTAAAAAATAGCCTCATGGCCTATTGATTCGTAGACCATGAGAGCCAGTCGAGAGGTCTAATAGCCATATTCTTTGAAGAACAACACTATTGGTACTTGTTATAGCTCTATTCATCGCTTGATTCAAAAACATTTCCAGTCAAGTCGAGCTCCATCTTTGAACAAAAGCAAACCTTCCTCAAATTTCTGTTTATTTTTTCTTCAATTTATCACCTTTTCCCCATACTTTGGTACCACACCTTCATAATTACGGCCAATTTACAAAGAAATCAGCCAACTTTTCTTCTTTTCTTTTCTTCTGTGTGAATTACGATACATCTATGTCTTTTTAGAACTCTTTGCCGACAGTACTGTTGCCGGTATTATGTCAATCATCTTTGCAGCGTCGTTTATTGTCCCAGCTCGAAAGCAAAGCCTTAGATTAAAGTCATACGATGGAAAGCAGAGTCTTGCCGCCGTTTCATTAAAAAAAACTTGCGCATAAAAAAAATTATCAGCCGTTCATCATAGGAGTTTTTCTTATGAGGCTCATTAATTATTTACAATAAATCGGACTTTGCCATAGAAATACCACACCATAGCAATAGTTACCACGTTTCCACAGTTGAATAGACCTCCTTACCTTGGGCGTAGTGTTTTGCCATTTCAGATCACGTATTTCTCGACAATAATATTTTTTAGATTGAGTCGAATCCATATTCAAGTGTCTTTTTCCAGTTAAACAAAGAAATGATACGCTAGAGAATGACACGTGGTCTGAAATGGGAAAACATTACGCCCAAGGTAATGAGGTTTATTAGACTTCACCTTGCATTCCAAGTCACATGGAAGTTCCTGGCTTGTTTTTGAAAGCATCTGTGCCTTTTTTCTTCTTGCCTATAGAAAAGATTTCCTGGTTGTGTTTGATTCTTGGATTGTTCTCATATGTGGGCTCAAGAGGTGCAGTGCCAACGGCTTTGGCTTTCTGTCTTTTCATTTTTTCATGGTGCTTGACGTAGGCACTTTCCTGGGCACTTTGATAGCCTGGAAATAAAAGTAAAGTAGATTTACATTGATGTTGTTGTTTATTAAGAAGTTGAACTTGCAGGCAGGCACAGTGCACAACTTAAATTTGTTAGCTAGGTAGGTAGACAAAGGTAGACAGGTAGATAGATAGGTAGGTAGGTAGGTAGGTAGGTAGGTAGGTAGGTAGGTAGGTAGGTAGGTAGGTAGGAAGGAAGGTAGGTAGGTAAGGAGGAAAGCAGGGAGGTAGGTAGGTAGGTGGGTGGGTAGGTAGGATGGTAGGTAGTACCAGTGGCGTAGCAAGAGGTGGCAAAGGGAGACAATTAGGCATACCCCTTAACCCGGACTCGGTCTCGAACCCGCAAAATAAAAATAAAAATAAAATAGTAATAAATCAGTATTACAAAATGTATTGATATTGCACAAAATATATAAAAATATATCATATACATGTACATATCACATCACTTTTTTGAGCCTGACGCAGTAATTAAACACATGTCCACATCGATCAGCCTTTGGAGATCGCAGTATACTGTTAATTAAACTGCCGCATAGAAAACTCAGTCGTGGAAACCCTCGTGTTTGTCGAGGCCATCATGGAACTTCTACTGTATAATGTAATGTCTCGGTTTTCGTTAGATTCCTACTGGTTCAGTATTGAACGAAATCAGTTTCATTGCCCGAGTTCGAGTTTAAGGTATTAGAATACGTTTACGACCACTATGCGCGCAAACTTAAATAACGCGCTGGCTTTATAGTATAACAAAAACAAAGTATACATTTTCTGAAAGCTAAGTAAATATAGTTTATGAAGAAGTTTTCAAAATACGATTTTTTAAATTGTTGTTCACATTACTGTCCTCGAAGCGAAATTTGACCATGCCTCAGTGAAAACGTTAACGGACACGTACATTTTAAGCTATGTTTGCGAAAAATGGCTTAACATACTCAGGGGATAATAAGCTCAAAAAGGGTGTCCCAAATTTTTGATATCTGTTTTATATCTCTCGCTATTTTTGATCAAAGTTCAGCGATAGCTTTTGGAGTGTTGTTTAAAGTAAAAAGCGTCATAACTTTGGAAAGAAATTAAATTTCAAAATTCGGAGACACCCTTTTTTGGATCATGAGTTACTTTATAAACTCTCCAAATTTTAGAAAAATCGAATGAAATCCAAGGGCCTTTTAGCTTTTTGAAGTTGAGGTTTTAGCGGCAAAAAAGATTCGAGAAAAACACATTTCTTTGTTTGGAGCCGGAAGCTGCAGGAAGCCACGATGGTGTTGGCCAGAACACCTTGAGCCTTCCATTTTGTCATCACTTGTCAAATTATCTGGTGTTCTGGTCGATCGCAATGTAGGATCTTGTGCGAGATCATGACGTAACAGACTATGAACTTAATTTGCATATTCGCACGTGTAAATCGAGAGAGAGAGAGAAAGAGCGGGAAGAATAAGTAAGTCGAGACGGATAGTTTGTGTTAACATGTAAAGAAAAGAATCGAAAATACAAAACAGCTTAGTCGAATGCTGCTTAGTTTATTCAAGGAAACAAAGGTAAAGAAAAGAATCGAAAATACAACAGATCTTTTTACGATGACAAAGGAGCATGACAGATGTGCATATATTAAGCGACGGTACATTTCCGGTCTTGATAAAGTCACGATTTCGATTTTTCTCAAACTTTTGGCTTTACCAATCAAAAATTGCAAGAAGTTTCACAAACATATGAAAGATAAAAGTTTAAAGTTACGAAATTAAAAAGAAAAAAATTTTTCGGGCAATTTCGGGCCATTTTCATCGATCGAAAATAAGATATCTTTGTTTAGATGGGGCTATGTATGCGATACTCTTGCCCTCTTGTGTCTTGTAGTGAGCGTTTTTATTTCGATTTTGATCGAGTTGGAGAGGGTTTTTTTGTTATGGCTTTTTAAACTGGTGTTGAAACCCCGAAAAAAAGGACTATATTATAACAGTAATTAATGCTTTCGTGGTTTATTTCTAGATACTAGACTGCTAACAATGGACGAAAAAAGCGAAATAACCATAGATTTTATAGACCCCGAACGTAAACAACTGATTAATAGTCACGGGAATCTCAAGTCAAAAACTACCTCAGACCTGCAGAAATTCAGATAAAAAATCCAAAAGTTTGATTAATCCAATGAAGCACGTGCTATTCAAACAGCTGTCTGGCGCTGGCTCCGTCTACAGACTGACTATATTATGAATAATGCCAAATGAGTCGTGCCCTGAGGTCAGTCCGTCACGGTCTAGATGAGTATCATGCATATGATATATTTTTTAATATTTTGTGTAATATCAATATATTTTGTAATACTGATTATTATTATTAACATTATTATTATAGATAAAATGATTGACAGTTAATTTTACAAACAATGATGAATAACAAGATAATAATATAGAGTAAATAGCTGTGGTTGTATGATGACATAACTATTGTAATATTAAACTATTAAGTTAACTAAGGAACTATAGTTCCTCAGTTAACTAATAGTTTTATATTTTGATTTAATTATTTTGATTTAGACCGGGTCCGTGTCCGGTTTTAGTGGTATGCCAGGCGATTGTTCCCCAAAAATTTTGGTGGTTAATTGTCAGTCTAATATAAAAGAAAAAGTAAATGATTGTAATTTATATTAAGTTTAAATTTCAAGAAGTACATCCGAGAATATTTTCAAGCCGTCGGAGAGGAGAGAAAGCAAGGGGTTAATACTAGCTGTGCGTGTCATGTAAGATTCTTGGATTAGAGAACTCGAAAAAAATCTTCTGATTCTGAGAGGGTATGTCAAGCTTGTGGACGAGCGATAAAAAATGCCGTTGAAAATATTTCCTTTCTGGAGAGATGACCAACACAACCACGCTTCCATTTTGAGCATCTTTGGCTGCTGTGAAGGCTTCGTAAATCC